TGTCCCTACGTCCCTTAACCGAAATAAGCAAACAGAAAATAACAAACCAGTAACCACTTTGTCTGTTCTCCAGCCACCACACTTAAAACTCACTTAAAATCACCACCAGTACCTTAAAGCAATCAGCTGTGCACAGATCCTGCTCAACTTTGCCACTGTGACAGGTTGGATCACAGAACCCCCCCTGGGAGCTGCCATACGGATGTGCCAAGGCTACCTCTGTTCCTGTTTTCCCTGCCAGCTCAGGACTCCAGCATCCTGTCTTGCTGAGCCAGACACTCCCGTCTGCTCCAACAAAGACCCAGGGTCTGAATTACTTGCCCCAAAGCTGCAGGTTTACCTGAAAACAACTCACAGAAGTGTGCTTGTCTTTAGCACTCAGATGCCCAACTCCCAATGGGGTCTAAACCCAAATAAATCCATTTTACCCTGTATAAAGCTTATGCAGAGTAAACTGATAAATTGTTCGCCCTCTATAACACTGATAGAGAGATATGCACAGTTGTTTGCTTCCCCAGGTATTAATACATACTCTGAGTTAATTAATAAGTAAAAAGTGATTTTATTAAGTACAGAAAGTAGGATTTAAGTGGTTCCAAGTAGTAACAGACAGAACAAAGTAAGTCACCAAGCAAAATAAAATAAAATGCGCAAATCTATGTCTAATACAGATAAGATCCTCACCTGTTTCAGAATGCTCCCTTTTACAGGCTAATCTCCTTTTAGCCTGGGTCCAGTAATCACTCACACCCCCTTTAGTTACTGTCCTTTGTTCCAGTTTCCTTCAAGTATCCTGGGAGGGGTGGAGAGGCTCCTTCTTTAGCCAGCTGAAAACAAAATGGAGGGGTCTCCCAGGGGTTTAAATAGACTTTCTCTTGTGGGTGGAGATCCCCTCCTCACCCTGTGTAGAATCCAGTCACAAAATGGAGATTCTGAATCACATGGGCAAGTCACATGCCCATGCATGACTCAGGACTTGCAGGTAGTAGCCATTACCCACATGCTACCTTGGACGTCCTCAGGTAGACTTCTTATGTGGATTGGAGTCTTCCAAGCTCTTTTGTCTGTTAAATGCTTCCTGATTGAGCACCTAATTTGCACATTCCTTTCCCAAGAAGTGAACAAATGTTCTAACTAAGGCTACTTAGAAATCAAGCAATTATACAGCCAATGTTCATAACTTTGAACACACAAATGGTGCCTGCATACAACTAGGATGAACATAACCAGTAGATCATAACCTTTACATAGATATGTTACATGGCATATGTAGCAAAACCCTATTCCAGTTATATCATACATACATTTATGAGCACCCCCCCATAAAACCTTATGGGGTACACTGTCACAGCTACATTGATTAATTGGAGAGGGTTCAAAGAAGAGCCAGAAGAATGGTTAAAGAATTAGAAAAGGTGCCTTCGAGTGACAGACTCCAGGAGCTCAATCTACTTAGCTTAACAAAGAGAAATCTAAGGGGTGACTTGATTACAGTCTACAAGTACCTACCTGGGGAACACATATTTAATAATGGGCTCTTCAGTCTAGCAGAGAAAGGTCTAACATGATCCATTGGCTGGAAGTTGAAGCTAGACAAAATCAGACTGGAAATGAGGTGTGAATGTTTAGCAGTTAGAATAATTAACCACTGGAACAATTTATCAAGGGTCATGATGGATTTTCCCTCACTGACAATTTTTGAATCAAGCCTGGATGCTTTTCTCAAAGCTCTGCTCTAGGAATTATTTTAGGGCAGTTCTCTGGCCTCTGCTATACAGAAGGGCAGACTTGATGATCACAATGGTCCCTTCTGGTCTTGGAATCTAGGAATCTATGAGGTTACTTTCCATTTAATTGTCCGGGATAGATTTGTATGCATGGCAATGCAGCACAAAGGGACAGTTTTGGAATAAATCTTGCCATCAAGCTCACGTGTAGCAAGTAGCCAAATTTTGAAATGAACTGTTCAGGGTTTCCCAAGGGCAGAAATTTATCAGGGGAGAGGAATTGTAGAGGTTGTCCAGAAGAGCTGGCAAGTCTGCCTCATTTCCTGATACAGCTGCGGGGATGAGTGTCACTCAGGGCTTTGGATGGGGAAGGAGGTGGTTGGGATATGCACCCACCACTCCCCAGTGGGAACAGAGTTGAGAGAAAATTGGTGCTTCCCTCCTGGCCCCTCCCCCAGCTCCTGTCCTGCTATAAATTTAAGTTAGATGCAAACGTCAGAGGTAGATAACATGCTTTAGGTCTTTGTTTACCTTTCTCGCTGTGTCTGGTTGTAGTTGTGATTCTAGGGTATTATTTATTGCAAACAACATCCTCCCAAATGCTGAGCTGTGATTCTGATGTATTGCAAACAACACCAACCCAAATGCATCAAACAGCCCATCATCTGGGGGAACAGATGGGGATTTAGAAAAATATACACAAATGGTAGCAATTCCTTGCTGCCGGTAATAAGCATTTGATGACCAGCCCTGGCCCTATGATGGATAGTGGGAGGGTTGAACAAGGCTTTGCTGTCTTGCTGGGATGCCCGTGTTCTGGTGTTTACTGTGCTGTAACCACAAACAGCTGTGCTGAAAAGCTTTAATGCAGAAAAACAGGGAACAAGCTAAAACAAAAGTGTACAGGGAGTTTTGCATAAGTTAGATGGATTAAAATACTTCTTAACCATCCACACTGAAATGTAAAGAAGAATACATTCCTGCTCTGTATAGGGCTGCATCTCACTGTCTGGTGCTGAGAGAGACTCCTCAGAGAGAAAAGTGCCAATTTAACATGCTTGGTTTTAGAGATCAGTTAAATGTCAATTAACAGAGACATCACGTAGTATTGGATTCTCGCACAGGCGTCACACAGGAGTCACCATCTTCCATTGAAGGCACAGTCCTTCACTTGCTGTCTCTACTCCAAATGCACAGCAGGGCAGGCAGGAGTAAAAGTCTAAACAATGCTAAAAAGACAATTAATTAATTACAACTCTACAGGAAATTCACCCCCTGGTAAGAGGAAGGGAAGGAAAGAAAAACCACACATCACAAATGCTAATCACCTTGCTTAATGCAGGCCCTTAGGGCCGGATTTTCAAAGGTATTTAGGTGTCTGAAGATGCAGATAGGCACCTAGTGGGCTTTCCAGAAGTGCCCTCGGTGCCTAACTCACACTGATTTCTCTGGGAATTGGGTGCCTAGGAGCTTCTGAAAATTATTCTAGGCATCTATCTGCATCTTTAGATGCTTATATACCATTAAAAATCTGGCCCCTCAAAACCATGTGATGGGCATAGTGTAAGAACCAGAATAGAATAGAACAGAATAGAATAGAGTCTCTCCTATGAGTACTTGTGGCACCTTAGAGACTAACAAATTTATTTGAGCATAAGCTTTCGTGGGCTACAGCCCACTTCTCGTATGACTGCAATTGGTCCTAATTTGCTTAGCCCTTGAGAAAAAGAAACATTCAGTCCCTTGTCCCTCCACTCTCACCCTGCACAGCATTATGGCCCAATCCTGCTGTTCTTCCTTAAGCAAAACTCCCATTAACTTCAGTGGGAGTAAAGCTTGCAGGATTGGGCCCCCACAAGAGGTCTAAGACCCTGTAAAGCATGAAAAACTGCTGCAGGCTTGCAACAGAGCAACATTCCTGAACTGCACCATTACTGAGTGCTCCTGGAATCGGGTCTGTCTGGCCTCCTCTCGCCACACAAGTTTGCTGTTAATTAGGCTAAGCATCATTTTGACTTCTGTAAAGCTGGCAGGGGGCTGGTTACTGGGAGAGAAAAGAACAAAGGAGACAGCCAGGACATTTCAAAGAGAGGCAGAAGAAGGGGAAAGGAGCTTCAGCCCCCCAGGCTGCTGGGGTTTGTCAGAGGATTTCGACACCTCTGTGCATTGATCCAAGGTTTGCATCTGAACTCTGTCTACAGGGTGTAAAAGGGTAACAGAGCAGGGGGCAGAGGTGCTCTTAGGGCAATAGAACGTCCCTCACATCACTCTGTGCTTTGTACACACGTTTTTAGGGTTCAGTTCAGTTAGACATCCAACACTCAACTGCTTTTCTGGAGTTTATCAGAACCTCTTTGGCCTGGAACCTGGCCTGTATTGGGCGTTCTGGGGAGATTGCTGGTATTTCCTGCTTACACAGTTTGGGTATCGTCTAGTTCCTGGAAATACCCAGGGTGTGCAGAGGCATACATGAAACGAGTCAAGGGGGTGTGTGTCTGTGTGCACGTGCTTTTTCTTTTTCTTTTCAAGAGAAGACAATAATAATTATTGAAACAAGATGGAGAGGAAACACATCCATTGTGCACTGCGAGCAAAAGCAGATCATGAACTGGTGTGTGATGAAAAGAAAGATCTAATTTTAATACCATCAAAATACTATTTAAATTAATTAAAATAATTAAGTTAATAAAATGTTGAAATCTCAAAAATTGTTTTGGGGGATTGTGGGGGGGGGGGGCAGCTAGTGTGACTTTTGGGTCTGATATCTCTGAGCTGGGTCACTTCCCTCCAACCCGCCTGCCCTTCCCTGATTATCCCTGATCAATTGCAATAAAACATCTGGCAGGAGAAGTCTCTTTTACTTTCTCCTTTCACTCACTTTACTATGGGGCTCTTTTTTTCCAAAAAGAAGCCACAAGTTACCCCCAACTCGAGAGTGGATTCTTTCCCCCTGAGTCTTTTGATATGAAGTCACTGTTATTAATTTTCTTCTGCCTCCTGCTGCCCCTGCCTAAAGCTGGGACCAGCAGCCAGTCCATGGAGCTGAACCGAATGGGTCCTCAGCACACAAGGAATGGTTAGGTGATAATCATGTCTGCATTCAAATGTCTCTTGCTAAACCCAACCTCTCCCCCCTACCCCTCCTTGAAGTGAGAAACTTTTGGCTCAAGAATGCAGTAGGGTTGTTCTCCTGTTCCTCCCACTCCTCCTGCACCCCTTCTCCCGCGACAAGGCCCTCCCCCTCTCCAGTCTGGATTAGGCTGTACCTTTTTTCTTTCCTTCAGGGGTGAGGGTTTTATTCCCTTCTTTTCTGCCCAGATCTCCACTAAACAAAGGAGCTCTGGGCACATCACCAGTTCCAGGACCTAAAGGTATTTAAACAGATTCAGACTAAATCCAGACTCTATAAGTGGCTAAGGGGCTGATTTCTTTCTCTTTATCTCAAAGCTAGTTTGCAATTGTTCGACTGCCTTTTTTCTTTTTTTTTTTTTTTGCATTTTTCCCTCTGTTTAGTTCTGACACTTAATGCCACAAATTGAAATGTTTTTCCTGCTCCCCTCAAATCTGCCAATCTGTTTTAGCTCAGATTTAATGATTGATTCTCTCTCTTTTTTTCCTTTGTCAATGTTGATTTCTTACAAAGAACGTTTGGTGGAATTTCTCAGAGCTGCAGATAATTTTTGAGCTTTTTTAAACTCTCTTCAGATGGTGTAAATTACTTTTCCATATTCTTTTAGCAGAACTGTAGTGTTAACGCTTTCAAGGGTACATGTCTGTGTATTGATCATTGTTGTGATTCTAATTTCACTGTGGTTAAAGGGGTCACTTATCATCTCCTCAACTGAAATCTCTGCATGAGAGCTTGGAAACCTCCTAGTGTAAAAAAATCTTTGCTTTCTGTGACCACTTTTCCATGTGTGTGTTACTTTGAAAGCTCTAAAAACTACCCCCCCTTTTGTCTAGCTGGAGATAATCATATCCCAGCCTTCAGCAGACAGACATGTGTAGCAAAGGAGCAGAGTTTTGCAAGGCACTGAAGGGAGGGCAGTTTCTTTGTCTCTTCCTTTGCCTCTGCTCCCAGCCCGGTTTGCTCCTTCCCACTCTCTGTCTTTCTCATTCACTGCATTTCAAATATTAGAGCCTGAAAAAGCATGTCCTCAAAAGCTGAGAAACTCTGACCAGGGACACTGCTCTGGAGCTGTGAGGTTTGGAATGGTTTGAACACATTTTCTGCCTTGTCTGTGCTGCTTTTTGCCTGCTTTTGGGCTGCGCTGCAATTGGAAAGTGCTTCTGTGGGACAGCATGGGGGACATTTAGGGGCAGCTCAGGGCCCTACTTCTCCCAGCAGGAGTGCTCAGGGCTCTGCCTCTCTCAGCAGCAGCAGTCATTTTCGTTTTGGGGAGAGGGGGAACCTCTGGGAGAAGACTTGGGGTTTCAGGGTGAAAGATGCTCTCTGAGGAGGGCTGCAAGCCCCGGCTCTCCTGGGGACCGGCTCCCAGCTCCAGCACGCTGGAGTGAGGGGGTGGGTAACAGAGCAGCTGAATGTCTGCACATGCCAGTGTAGGGCCAGGGGAGTTGGGGAATGGGGAGCGGGGTTGGGGAAGGAATGAGCTTTGACGGAGAGCTGGGGGGACGGGTAAGGTCAGTGATAAAACATCTCAAATTTACCCCACTTTGCCTGCCCATATCAGACCAGCCCCATGGCCTCTGCCGGTCAGCCACCCCGGCCCTGCCTTCTATCACATGCACCCTGAGCCCAAGCCCAGCCATACTCCCTGTCATACACCCAGACCTCCACCCTCATCCCCGAGGCCAGGCCCAGGACCGGGCACCCGCACTGCCCATTACTCACAGCCCTCCCCTAGCTTAGAGTCTGCGCCTTTCTCCCCGTCGTCAGCTCCTGCTGCAGCTCTGCTCACTGCTGATGGCCACACTCCCACTGCCAGGGCTTGCTCATCCCACCCCGTTTGCCTGAGACCCTGTGAGTTCATGGTGCCAGTCCCCGGGCAGAGCCCTGCAGGCTTGATGCTAAAGGCACTGGGGTGTGTGTAGCATGTTTGGCACCGAAATAAAGCCACTCCGGAGATCTCTGTGGGCCCCACGGGCCATGACGACACGAGCTGAAACCCTCCCCCCATGAGCTCCCCCCGACCATGGCCCCCAGTGACACGATCCAGATCCCTTCCTCCCTCCCCCCAATCACCACCCCCAGTGACATGAGCCGAATCCCTCCCCCATGGGCTCCCCCAGACCGCGGCCCCCAGTGACACGATCCCTCTGTCCTTCCCCCCAACCATGGACCCTAGTGACCTGATCCAGATCCCTCCCTCCATCCCCCCGACCACGGCCCCCAGTGACATAAGCTAAATCGCTCCCCCCATGGGCTCCCCCAGACCATGGCCCCCAGTGACCCCCAGAGGCTCCCCCAGTCCACGGCCCCTAGTGACATGAGCTGAATCCCTCCCCCCATGGGCTCCCCCGACCACAGCCCCCAATGACAAAAGCCGAATCCCTCCCCCCAGGCCCAGGGGTCTCCCAGTCCACGGCCCCCCAGTGACACGAGCCTAATCCCTTCCCCCAGAGGCTCCCCCAGTCCACGGCCCCTAGTGACATGAGCTGAATCCCGCTCCCCATGGGCTCCCCCAACTACAGCCCCCAGTGACACAAGCCGGATCCCTCCCCCCAGGGGCTCCCCTGGACCATCGCCCCCAGTGACACAAGCTGAGTCCCTCCCCCAATCAGCTCCCCCGACCACGGTCCCCAGTGACATGAGCTGAGTCTCTCCCCAGACCACGGCACACAGTGACCCAGTCCGGATCCCTCCCCACACAGTGAGCGTTGCTGAACCTCCTCTTGGTCGCTCTGTGGGCTCCCCAGGCAGCGTCCTGTCTCCTCCCCTTGGCAGGTGTCTGGGTTTAATTTTGCTTTGTTCACTGACACAGACACACGGCAAAATGACTGTAGCAGAGTCCCTGGGACCCGGGGCCGTGGGCTGTGTCTGGGGACGTGCCCATGTTTTGGCTCCCACAGGCCACAGCACAGGTTGACACAATGATGCCAGGCAGCCGGTCTAGGATTGAGAGCAGACGCTCTGACACTGGCCTCCTCTTTGCAGATCCCTGTGCCTACCCCTGAGCTACCCCCTTGGTGGTGCTACGGGACATCCAGGGCCTGCTACTGCTGCCCTCAGCACCAGCATATCAATCGCCCCCCCAGCCTTTCACGCTAAGTCATGCAAACTTCCCCCAGGCCTGGCCCAGCTCAAAGGCTCTTCCCCCATGACCCCATCCCCTGCACTACTTCAGCCTTGGCCTAGCACTCACGCCAGCCCCCAGTATGGGCCAAACACATGGTACTCTCTCACTGAGCCCCGCACAAATACCAACCCAGCCCTAACACATCACATTTATCCTCCTCTCCCTCACCCCAGCGTAGTACCTGTCATTCAGCCCCATGCAACCCTCCACACTCATCCCTTCTCCCCACTCTATCACTGGGCTGAGCTCCCTCCACCCCCTGGGCTCCTTGACTCCCCTCAACCCCCTGGGAAATAGAGAGGATTTCAAAGGGAATCCCAGGAGCTGGAAACACTGCTTTCAGGGCAGTGTACTCCCCATGCCCCTCCCACATCTCAGCCCCCACTCCTCCTGGTCTGACTGGCACATGGGTCTGGGAGGGCAGAGCTGGGGAATTTAGCAAGGGGGCCCAGAAACATGAGGCCAGAGCTTCCCCTGGGAAACCACTGTCCTGAGTGCATCTTCTCTGGCCCCATAGCCCTGCTTCTTGCATTGCTGCTCTGAATCCTGGAGCTGCATTCAGGGTATCACAGGCTGGCAGCAACCAAACCCCAGGGCATGTCTGCAATTACACTCAATGCACTAATTGGCTGCCCTTTATGCAGTAGCGTAAGTGGCGCCTTTTTAATTTTACTCACCCGGGAGCAAAAAAAAAAAGGCGCTTTTACTGACGGGCGGTGCTCCGGGTCTTCGGCGGTACTTTGGCGGTGGGACCTTCACTCGCTCCGGGTCTTCGGCGGTACTTCGGCGGCGGGCCCTACACTCGCTCCGGGTCTTCGGCGGTACTTCGGCGGCAGGCCCTTCACTCGCTCCGGGTCTTCGGCGGTACTTCGGCGGCGGGCCCTTCACTCGCTCCGGGTCTTCGGCGGTACTTTGGCAAAGGGGCCCTTCACTCGCTCCGGGTCTTCGGCGGTACTTTGTCGGCGGGCCCTACACTCGCTCCAGGTCTTCAGCAGTACTTCGGCGAAGGGGCCCTTCACTCGCTCCGGGTCTTCGGCGGTACTTCGGCGGCGGGCCCTTCACTCGCTCCAGGTCTTCAGCGGTACTTCGGCGAAGGGGCCCTTCACTCGCTCCGGGTGTCTTTGGCGGCACTGAAGCTTCATTGCTGAAATGCCGCTGAAGACCCGCGGAGCGAGTGAAGGTCCCGCCGCCGAAGTGCCGCCGAAGACCCGGAGTGCCGCCCCGTCAGTAAAAGCGCCGCAGCGGATGGCGCCGCTCCCCCTGTTCCCTCCTCCTGGCTACGCCCCTGCCTTTATGTTTCCAAATGCTCTGGAAGCATTTGCTGGGCTAGAAGGACAGAGCGGAGGGAAGAGAGTATCTCCACTCCAGAGAGATCCAGAGGGAGCAGCCTCTGTCCGTGCCTAACTCTTGGGAAAGGAATTCTTTGGCAATGTCTTTGTGCGGTATGAGTGTGTGAGCTTGTTAGCTGGATTGTGCACAGGGAGCCAAAGTCAGTGAGATTTGATGACCTCACTCTATTAATGCTCGGGAAGGGGGGCCTGGGGTGAACGATCATTTTAAAAATGTAAAAGCCCTTAAGAACACTTGTGTCTCCTCTGTCCTGTCTCTGCTTCTAGCCTCAGAAGGGGACCGTCAGGACGGCAGCTTGGCATTCAGGGTTTGCTGCCACAGTCCATCCTCCACCAGGGCAGCAGGGCCCCTCCAGCTGGAAGAGGCTTTCAGGGCAACAGAGGGAATCAAGGAATCCTTGCCATCATGGGGTTATTATGGCTGGCCAAGTTCATGCTAGGATGTACAGCACTTTTGTACATGGAACAAGCCCAGGGCCAATATGAAGGGGACTTTCAGACAGACAGATTTGCAGGCTATGAGGAAAGACAGCCAGCAAATAGAGTGAGAAGAAGAGGCCAAGACACTTTACGAGGGTACGTTTAATGTTCATTTATTTTTTATGGTACAGAACTTGGGTTATTAATGTAGCACAGAGTCTGAAGACCAGACCTGCTTTTAAAACTGCCTTTTCTGTATTATGTGTGAGGTCAGCCAAAATTCTGCCCTGCAGCCTTTTCCAAAGCTCCCCTTAGGAGAACAAGCTGATTCCACAGGGGAATTCAGTGTCTGAGGGCACCAAGAGAGCTCCGTGTGTTACCCAGTCTCGCCCCTGTTGCAAACCTGAGCAGGGCGAGGAGAAGCGATTACTCAGCTGCACTACCTTGGGTCAGAGTGTCCCAGCAGCGGGGTATGGAGCTTTTCACGTCCAGCTCTCCAATGCCAGTCCAGACCTGGGGCTGTGTTGTCTGCAAGACCTTATCGTCTGGTGGCTGCTCTGGTCTGGTGGCGTTGTGCAGCCAGCTGGAGATTCTCAGTGGACAGGAACCCACGTCACAAATCTCATCATGGTCATGGGCTCTTATTGGCAGGTTCATCCAAGGATCAAATGGGCTTGAAAACTGGCAGCCAGAGTGTGGGGCTCCAAGTGAGGGTTGGGGCAAAGTGGCAGGCCATTGTATGGGGAGTTGGTACTGCTGCCCATGCTGTAGCTGGGTTGTCAGCCTGACACCTCCTGCCATCACTACATGGACTCCAGTGTATGTTGAGTCTGCCTGTCTGGGAAAGCTTTCCTGTGTCAATGTGCAGAACTGGAGCAGCCCCCGGGCCATTCCAAAGGCAATGTTCCCCCCACGCTTGCCTGGGAAGGCTTCTCTCATGGGTTCACTTTTTCTGAATACAGTTCCTTCGGCACAGACATGGTCACACGTGCAGCACCTGAATTGGAGGGAGCTGGAGCACAGAGGCTAGCAATGGCAGCTGAGGACCAACAGTCAAGGGTGGGCCCTATGGCTGGCTGTATTCATTCCTAGAGTTTAGACATCCAGGGTCACTTGCTTATGCTGCTCTCTGATTCTGAAAAGATGGACAGCAGCTATGGCGCTGCATTTGGAGTGGGTTCGTTTTTTAAAAGTGAGCCACCAAAGGCAGCCCTGAGTTGCTCATTGCCACAGAAGGGCAGGAGTGCACTCTTCCCCTAGAAACACTCCCACATTCAGACATTTTCCAGTGCGTCCTTCAGATAACTTGTTAACACTGCTGCTAATCATCGACAAGGGAGCTGGGGGAAGGGAGAGCGTGCAGGGCCATGTTTGAAAAGGAGGAAGATAGCATGGAGTCCTGAGCCGAAGTCCCTCAAGAACTCAGATGTGGATTCCCAGGGCTATACACGAAGGATCACTGAGCCCAGGGTGATGGCTGGGTTTGCTGACACACTAACTGCAGCATTACCTTCTAACTCAGCATCTCATGGAGTGCTGTGCTGTACCTGAGAGAGAGGCGGCAACATGCTGTAGTGAGACGAGTTTTTATTTTGCCTTCATCCCGGGACCTCCGTGGACTTTACTAACATTCACCTACCTCGCGGCACCCTGGGAGGGAAGGCACGTGTTATTATTGATTGATTTAGGACAAAATGTTCAGAAGCACCTTCATACCTCCAAGGGAAAAAACAAAAAACTTCTTCGGTGGAGTTTAGCTCTTCAAGATTTTGATTTTGAAATTCAACACATTTCAGGGGCTTCTAACAAAGTGGCTGATGCACTCTCCCGGGAAAGTTTCCCAGAATCAACTGGTTAAAATCGTCCTTGAAATGTGAAAAATCTTGTAGTTTTTACATAATTAGTAGTATATGTAAAGGTGCATGTGTTTTATTCATCTGTTTATTCTAAAGTTTTAGAAAAAAATCACAGCCAGTGCAGTCCAACACTGTCTGAGATTTGGGGGGCGTGTCATAAACAAATAGTTAAGGGTTAATGCCTCTTTTACCTGTAAAGGGGTAAGAAGTTCACCTAGCCTAGCTGACACCTGACCAGAGGAACCAATGGGAGGACAAGATGGTTCAAAAGGAAGGAGGAAAATTCCCTTTGTCTGAGTCAGTTTCACTTTTGACTGGAGTGGGAAAGCTCCAGAATTCAGCCTCTTATCAAGTAGTGAGTATTAGTGAAGGGAATAAATAGGTTTATGTCTATTTTCTTTTGTAACTTGTCTTGTGCAATTAGGGAATAATCAAATTGGGTATTCATTTGTGTAACTAAGTTTTTGTCCAGGGGAACATTCTCTGTGTTTTGAATCTGTTGTCTGTGAGAGTAGCTGGTATGTTAATCTCTCCCAGAGGGTTTTCTTTTACCTTTCTTTTCTTTAATTAAAAGTCTTATTTTTAAGAACCTGATTGATTTTTCCTTGTTTTTAGATCCAAGGGGGTTGGATCTGGATCCACCAGGAGTTGGTAGGAGAAAGGAGGGGGATGGTTAATTTCTCCTTGTTTTAAGATCCAAGGGGTTTGGATCGGTGTTCACCAGGGAATTGGTGAAGAGTCTCTCAAGGCTACCCAGGGAAGGGAATCAGTACTTGGGAGTGGTGGCAGCCAGACCAGATCTAAGCTGTTAATTGAGCTTAGGGGTTCCCATGCAGGTCCCCACATCTCTACCCTAAAGTTCAAAGTGGGGAAGGAACCTTGACAGAAGCCAAGGGCCCATTTTCAAAAATGACTTAGGAGCCTGAATCCCACTGACTTACAATGAGACTTCAGATCCTCCCTGCTTAAGTGACTTTTGAAAATGGAACTTAGACTCCAAGTCACCTGGAGGCTTTGGAAAATGTATTGGAGGGGCTCTCTGTCATTATAGCTAGCAAACATCAAAATAAATACCCTTATACCTATTTTTCAGTGGTTTGAACTATTAAGGCCACACAGTGAGGTTGTGGTAGCATCAGGGACAGAGCTGAGGGTTGTTGGCTCCCAGTCCCTTGCTGGGAGCACTGGACCACACAGCCATCTCTGTGAGTGTCTATTCCATTTTACTTAGTAATCTTTGAAGCTCTCTCTGTAGTATGAGAGAGGACCTGGTTGGGGTAAATGCCAGCTCTGTTTAGAAAAGCCTGTGGAACTGCAGATTAAGGCACTCAGACTGGGGAATCGTTATTTCTTGGTTTTCAGGCAAAATGATGCAGAATATAAAGATGTAAATAGCATTTTGGCAAACCAGAGAACATGTGGAACTTCTTCCCAAAGGCAGTTTCCAAGCTCTGCATCCAGTGACGCAAATCAAGTGTCTTGTTCCAGAGTCCCAGCTTCTCCTTCAGAATTGGGGATTGGTCCTGCTTTGAGCAGGGGGTTGGACTAAATGACCTCCTGAGGTCCCTTCCAACCCTGATATTCTATGATTCTATGAATGTCCAGCTCTCTGATAGTCCAAGTCTTTAACGTCATTTGTCTTTGCCAGTTTCATCAGAAGCATAGCTCTAAAATTGTCTGAGATCAGAAATGGACTAGAAAGCATCATCTCACTGGGTCTGGCAAATGGTTAGCGGTACCACTGTATGGGATTACATAGCTTATATGGAGTCCTATAAAAAATGGAAACTAGGACAGATTACAAAGGATGAATATAGGCA